AAAGCCTGGGCTATGCTCCCAATATTTTTTTATTTATTTTTATTATCCCTGTTCGTTCAAAAAACATTTCAATCAAGGTTGGAAACCTCACAATTCAACCCGGAGTTGTCCCGACAGCTTTAGCCGGTTTCGCTTAAGAGACACTTCTTGAGTTTACCACAATGACCATACAATATCGCTATAAAACCATTCCATTCAATTCGCCCAGACCCTATTCGCCCACGATACCCAAATGACAAGTCCATATTACATTGTCAAAAACACCCCAGACCACCCCTAAAACTACCACCCACTAATCTTTACTTATAAGTTACCAGCTCTAGTTTAGCCAACACCCCAACTACGAACCTATCGTATACTAAGTAGTCTATCATTACTAAGGAAGAACAAGCCTAACCCGACCTGACGTCGGCCCATCACGGTCGGCTGAAACTCGTTAGATTCCGAGTGGCAGTGACACTCTACCACCTCCCATTCTCTTACGACCTTCTGCGGTTTGGAGACGAAAAACGACCTCGAACCGAGTGTCCGGGTCCGGGCAATAAAAGGGACACAGCAAGTTACTACCTTACTCCCGACGACACTCAATCCATCCGCACAGCTGACTCGAAAGATTGCCCTCTGAAGTGAGGTGAGCCAGATGGCCCTCAGAGCACAAAGTTCTCTCGAACCAAATCAGTCTATCGTGTCGACTCCCTTGTAGGACCTGGCGTGACCAGTCTGCCCTCATCTCAGTAGCAAGCATAACCTTGAAAGTGACTTTTGTCTGTACCTCCGACAAATTTTCCTTCTGTTGTTTCTGTCCATCCATATTACCCATAGCATGATAGCTTGTCCCGCCTGAGCTATGTAACCCCAACCCTCTGATACTTTGACCCCATGAGGTACTGCCCCCAACAACACCCAACCCTGCCCTACTATGCTAGGTTGGTCAAAAAACTGTCTCTAATGCATTTCCCACCACATCCACCACTTCCTTGATTTTGGGCAACTCCACCAGAGGTGGTCAAGGGACTCCTCCTGGACTTCACAACTATCGCATATCCTATTGACATCCATGCCTCTCTCTGCCAACTAGGTGGCAGTAGAAACAACCAAATAGGACTGGAGCCATAACAATAAGGCTAATTTTTGAGATGGGATATCCTTCAATTGGGCCCAGAGTCTGGTTAAATCTGCCTCCACCGCGGGGGACAATGCTGAAAGGACTATATCCCAACGTTGTGAAATCCTTGTTGCAATCGACAACCCCGATGAACTCTTCTTCTGAATGATCCTCAAACTTAATTTTTGCAGTCCAATGGTTAGCTTGCCTTCAACCAGCCACCCCCAGACTGCTGAGTTCGCAGCCCGTCAGGGTTGCGTTCTCCCCCCCTTAGAACATTTTTCGTCGTCGTTCGTTATATACGGTCGTTGGAAGACTGGAAAAACAAGGCATGGCATTTTAAGGGGTGGTAGAATCTTATCTGAAACTGCAGGACCGGTAACTGCCCGTAGGACCGCACGGGTTTTGGTCCATGACCGCGTAGGACCAGTAGCTGCGCATAGGAGGCCGACGAGGCCGCAATCCTTTTTTGAAATTAAAACGGTGTGGGTCCACTTTTCTCGAATAGCAGAGTTCCTCGAATAGAAAACGCACAAGTTGTATTCGAATACAACCTGTACCCTTTCTACTCGGATTTAAAAAAGAAAAAACTCTTGTATTCCGATAAAATTACTTCTTCTTTTTGTTGGAGGTCAGTGTCTGCCCTTGCGCTCCCCGCCATTGACATGCTGCATGCTGCAACTCTCTCTCTCTCACACACACACACACACACACACACACACACACACACACATACACACATACATATATTCTCTTGTCTATTGATGGGGAGCGCCACCTGCTGGAAACTGGGTCCAGCGTCCCATGAACATCGTGAATAAAGCACCAATCGGGACCCCACATACACACTCTCTTCGAGTTGTGTACAACAAACATGACAAAACATACATACAACATAATCACTACCTTACCCTTCCCGAACCGCATAAACAAACGAACTGCGGGTTGTGCATCCGTGCCCTCACGGTCCCATTTGCAACCAAGTGCGGGATCATGGGAAAACCTTCTTCTGTGGAGGGCTGCATCCTCACCCTAACTTCCACCAGTCCACTAAGTCCATATTGAAAGCGCATGCCTATTCAATCCTCAATAATTTGTTTTCTTTCTGGGTTGTATTGTTGAGGCATTCTAAGCCTCAAATTTCTTTGTAACAATGCAGCCCGTCAGGGTTGCGTTTTCCGCCCCTGAGATTTTCAACGTCACTCAGATTTCAACGTTGGTGGTCATCGGGAGGGTGGGCATTTTGAGGTTTTTGTGCTTTCAAGAGCCAGGAACGCGAAGGACCGGTAGCTCCCCGTAGGAGGCCGAGGAGGCTGCGGTCCTTAAGCCTTTCCCAAAAATTGAAACGGTGCGGGTACACTCTTCTCGAATAGCAGATTTCCTCGAGTAGAAAACGTACACCTTGTATTTGAACACAACATGTACCCTTTCTATTCAGATTTCCAAAAGAAAAAACTCTTGTATTCCAATACAATTAC